TATGCTATTATACATGGAAATATAATAAAATAATAAATAAATAAATATATATATATATATATATATATATATATATATATATATATATATATATATATTGAAGTGATTGCCCATAACTTAGATATATGCTGCAGAATGCTTATCCACAATTATTCTTTGAAATAGCTAGTTTCAAGCCATTCTTTCTTATAGTAATTAGGTTAACAGTCAGTTGTCTACAAAGGTTACTTCTAGTTCACATTATTTACCCATAGAAGAATGATTTTCTTTCTCTTTCAGGAGTGTTGGAGCACTTGACATTCAGTTTAACGAAAACCAATATGAAGTTAAAAGGACAATTTGGAAATTGGTAGAAAATGGGGGAATATAATACCATCTTTTATTAATTTGCTGAAGATTATATTGTGATATGAGAAATAACATTACTATGATTATATACCATCAGTAACTGTGTAATCTTAGTCAAGTTACTGACCTGCTCTTTGCCTCAATATCCTCATCTATTCACCAGAAATAACAATATACTTCATAGTTTTTTTTGTGAGAAATAAATAAGACAATATTGGGTTGTCGGAAAAGTCATCATGTATTTGTTTCTATATTTTTCATTGCAAAAACGCATCATGACTTTTCCAACAACCCAATATATATGACATGCTTAAAACAGTACCTGGCATACAATAAGTGCTCAATCAGGGTTAGCTATTAGTCATCAGGAAGCAAAAAGTTTATATTGTGGTCTCACGCACGGCTCATAGCCAATTCCTATTCATACTATTAAAGTAAAATAAAAGCTCAGTAACAATTGCAACAATTTTATGTTATACCAATAAATGTATCCATTGGGTAAGACAGAGCATTGGGATAGAATTGCTGTGCCTGAAATCTGCTCCCATCATAAAATCCAGCAGGTCCTGGGCATTCCAGATCATCAGAAATCACAATCACAGTCTGGAATGCTATTACTGCATATAAATTTCAAAAGCTGAAATACTTTTGTGACCTTTTCCTAACCGCTAAGGAGGTAACAAATATACTACCACCAGTAGAAATCAATAAAGTTCTCTTGAGATTCTAAGCCTGAAGATGGGGGGTGGGATTTGGCTCATTGCTTAGATAAATCAGTGGACTCACAAATGCAAGCCTTGCAGCAGTAAATTCAAATTTCGTTTCCAGAAAAAAATGTTTAATTATTACTTATTTATTAGTTTTCTATTGCTGCATGATAAATTCCAGAAACTGAGCAGCTTGAAACTATACGCGTTTTTTAACTCTCAGTTTCTGTGAGTCACAAGTCCGGGGCTGGCCTGACTGGGTTCTCTCCTCAGGATCTCACAAGACCAAATTAAGGTGATGGTCAGGGCTGTGATCTCATGTGGCGCTCGGGGTTTCTTGTATCTATAGGACTATGGGCCTTCTAAGCTTTCTGGCTGTCAGCTTCTCAACACCTAGCGATGTCTCCATGTGTTGCTATGTGGACCCATTTATCTTTAAAGCCAGAAATAGTTTCCCTTGCATTGAATTTTTCTCATGTTTCAAATTTTGCCCCCAATCTCAAGACACTGATTTAAAAGGCTCTTAAGTTTAGGTCAAACTGACCAAGATAATCTTTTTAAATTTTCAAATGTACCATATAACATAACCCAATCACAGAAGTGTATCCAAATGAATCTATGATGTTAAGAATTATAAAAAAAAAATAAAATAAAAAAGGAGTTATAGAGGGCATAGACACACCAAGGGATGGGCCACTTAAGGGGCACTTAGAATTCTGCCCATCACATATGCCAGAAGCCTAGAGGATTCATCACTCAAAGTCTAGACCAAAGAATCTACTCCACTAGCCTACAATGCCAAGTCTTAGAATTTATAAGAAATAAACTGGCATTTAGAAACACTGTTCAATTATCCCATAAATTTACAATTTTAGAATACAAGTTGCCTTTTCTATAGATAACATAAATTCTAGACTAAAACAGACTGAACCATACATACTCTTGGCATTGAGGACAAAAAGTAAAGAAGCTGATCTCACCATTCTCCATGTGGTTCATTTACTGTCAATTATTTCATCAACTGTGCCCTCTCTGGGTGTATTATCAGGTCTCATTCAAAAAGTGTTAAAAAGAATCAAGAACATGTGGAATAACTGCCCTTAACTTATAAGGAGGCAACAAATAATCTTACCAGGGGTCACCAGGATCTGAACTTCCAAGACTACATTCAAGAAATTAGTCTTTCTCTGACTGACTTATTTCACTTAGCATAATGTTCTCTAGTTCCATCCATATTGTTGCAAAGGGTACTATTTCCTTCTTCTTTATACCTG